ATATTTCCCCTTCAATCCTCATAACAATCCTATGAGGCAAGAAATCTGATGGGTTCTGTGACCTGCCCAGGGTCACAGAGCCAGCACCGGATGCCATTACACTCCAAATGCAGGCAGCACCAAACCTGCACTACCCACTCAAGCATTCTTTTTCCTAGAGAGAATGAGCCTGACTTTCAAATGGCTTATATAGCATTACAAGAAAACCTACCAAACATTTACTATAAAACATGCGAACTTTTATCTGCCACACAAAGAAATCATTGATATCAAGTCAGATCATTTTTAGGAAAAAGAGCACCTTGACACAGAAGGTTGGGAGGTTGAATTTACCAAGAAAAATGGAGGGAGCAGGCAATTAGAATTAAGATTCCAGATCCATTGGTTGCAATGTCATTCTATTATATTATCCAATTCAGGTCAGAAGACTGAGTTTGAACTCAGATAAATAAATGAGTTTAGATGAATACACAGCAATTAACCCCAACAGCCTGTTCCAAAGGGGAAATGTAGCCTCTGATATTTTTTCATTTAAATTTTAGGTTTATCGCTTCTCGGCCTTTTGGTTAAGATCAAGTGTAAATTTTAGGTTATCATGAACAGCCATGAGTATTCCCTTTACAAAAAGCACCTTACATCCCTGAGGGATGATCAGTTAAACCCGAAGACCCATTGCTTTGTTTACTGGTTTCCATTCTAAATATTAAGTGCATTGGGCCTCACTGGTGGTGCAAGGGGTTAAGCACAGCACTATGAAGCTATCCGCAGCCTCTGCAACATGAGTTTGATCCCTCAGCTGGCCAGGGAGCTACCCACACAGCACAGCAGATGTCTCCTGTCTCACTCGCTGCTCCCCTCAGCAATGTATTTCAGTCAGTCTGCCTGTTCTGCTCCCCATTCTATCTCTGGCGAATCCTCTCACCCCCCGCACCTCTGGCCTGTACCCCTGTTCTTGTATGCATAAATAAATCTTTAAAAAATATTACATGTGTTTTAGACATATCTGCCAAATAAAGTCTCTGTTGCTTTTGGAGAGGTTTGCAACATTGAGTTTTGTTTGCATGTATCTGCTTTGCTGATTTGCATCCTTTGTGTCCTGCTTTGCATTCCAAGAAGGCTTTTCTTCTACAATATTCCTTTGACTGGGAGATGTCTGTTTTTCTTTTGGAAGTTCTTTTCTTGAGTCCACTTCTTATTCTATCATTTCTTCTCCTTGTATCCACCACCAGCTGCAGACTTGCTTCTTTTCTCTGGGTATCCCAGACTCACGAGCATCCTCTGTTCCAAGTCTCCACACCATCCTCTTCCCTCCCTAAATGCTGCCTTCCTTATGGGTCAGCAGATCTTCTCAGGTCTTTGACCCACAACTCACTTGAGACTTAGCGTTTCTCTTGTCACTATAGTCTTTTAAGAAGGTGTTTGTACTTCTGTTTTTGGTCGCTAGGTGAGATACCCTCAAAACTTACATAAATACCAGTATGCTGCCCTGCATTCTTGGCATTTCTATGATACATGAGGAGACCTCTGATATGAGGTGTTACCCTCACACACCCCAATAAACTTTAAAAGAACAAGCAGGTACAGATGGAGCTGCTAATACATAAATGTTCACTATGAAAATGACTTTTCTATGAAACAGATTCCTCCCTCCCCACTCCCCATTATGTCTTCAGGAAGCCACCTCAGACTTTTCTTTAAAAAACAGGGATCACTTAGGAAAAGAGGAAAGCTAAGAAATGCACTATCACAAGTCACCATCATGGCATAGTGAAGGAAATAAAATCTCGAGGACAAAACATGTGCTAAAGCATAGAGGTAAGACAGTTCTACTAAATACAAAACCTGATTAACCCAGAGCAAAGGGGTTTCTACCCAGTTCTCTGAAAGGAAGGGGAGGAATGTCCATCCATGCCCACCATGGCATGCTCATAATCCCCATCTCTGATATGTGTGAGAAGAGAGCCTCCTTTTGCTCAGACTCTGAGAGTTCAACTACAAAAAATCAACACATAATAGATGAGATAAGACATATTCAAATTGTATCTCAGAGACAAAATGTTTCCCACACCAGAAGCAGAGGGTGCAAGGACTCTCAGTAACCTTATCGATCACATTAGCATATCTATAGAAAGAATGTGTCAATCAGAAGGGGATTTGGTGTTGACTGGCAGAGAAGAGATGAGGTGGGAGAGGAGCCCTTTGGCAACTTAATCCCTGCCATCCAGAGGAGAGAGAGCCTGGACTCACTGGTGAGAGCAACCACGCCACCTTCCAGATGTGCCCCCAGCGGGAAGAGGGGCCAGCAGGCCTTCAGGGTAGATGCCAGCCTCACTGGGGCCCAGACCTGCTCTCTTCACTCTCAGACTAGATCAGACAACCTCCTGATCTCTCTATGGTAAGACTTCCTACTTAGTTCTCCTTAGAGAGAAAAATGTACTGATTCTTGCCCACTAGGACAAGAATTTCTTTTTCAAATGGGTTACTGTATTGGCATTCTGGTTTATTATTTCAGTTTCCCGTGACTTTAGATAATGTGGAATAACATCCTAAATTCCATGAACTCCACGCACTGTCATGGTCAGTTCTAGACTTGCAAGGTTGGTGACCTTAATGGTGGAAATTCACCAAGGAAATAAAAGGGGGCTTCTCAATCACCAGGTGGCGAGCATATTTGGTAGTATGGCAATACTCCCGCATATCACCATATGCTTCTCTCTAACCCAATCAAGAATAATGATCAAATATTACAATCTCCTGTGTACTTATACGTCATTCAGTAAGTCTTCAAAATGGCCTTTTGAGGCAGCAATTATTGTTTCCATTTTATAAATGAGAAAATTAAGGCTTAGAGAGACCTAAAATCACACAATTTGCAAATGACCGACCAGATACCATCCCTGGGTCTGTCTCCTCATCTATAGTAATCCAAATCTCTGGTTACCATCCTAGAAGGCATAACCAGAAGCTAGCGTGAATACTTCTCATAGCAGAAACAGGGCATCTCTCTCCAGAAGTTAATCCAGCACCAGAGTCCCATCAAAATAAAAACATATCAGGAGTGTGGACTCTATAAGCAAACCTCAACAGAGAAATGCCAGAATTCTAAAACTGGCTTTGGTTTCAAAACCAAGGTGAGTTCAAAACCTTCCACATTCTTCAGGATATATGGAGCAGCCTAAAGCTTCTGAGCCTTCCTGCCCATCTGTTAAAGAAATCAGCCACCATGTTTGGAATGACTGCTTGCTTCACTCTAAGCAAGGAATGGGCCTGAGTTGCCAATAACAATAAAATCAAAGGAGCAGTATCTGTTGTTACTGTGAGTTCCCTTGTAGAATATTTCATTTACTATTTCCTTGTAAAATAGGATTTTAACCCCCATTTTAAAAGATGAGGATACTGAATATTCAGTGAGGTTAAGAGGTTTGCCCAAGGTGATGTGGCTATAAGATAATAGCCCTGGAATTTGAACCCAAGTCTGATCTGACTCTGGCAACTAAGCCAGACTCTCAGCTTCACTGAGACTCTCAGCTTCACTGGCCACCAGAAAAGCAGTATCTGGTTAGATGACCCTGGTTAGACCAGACACAGCTCAGCACAGGAAGGAGTCACTAGAGTCTGGGACACCGAGGGACCAATCCATGACCATCTTATTTTGGTGAGAAAGAGCTGCTGTCCCCCCAAGCCAGGGCTCACTAGGTAAATTTTAAATGAATGCAGGAGCAAATGTCCCATAAGAGACTGTGTCATGATCAGAAGACCAGCTTGCTTATCACAGCTTGAAAATGGTGTAGCTTGATTAACAACTTCCCAAGTTCCAGCTAGCTAACTTAAACAGTCTCAAAAATAACATTTAGGGCCTCCCCGGTGGCGCAGCGCTTGAGTGCTGGCTTGCAAAGCTGCCGGCAGCCTCTGCAGCGCTGGTTCGATCCCCGGCCACCGGGCGAGGGTCCCACATGGTGCGACAGACCTCTCCTGCCACCCGCTGCTCCCCTCTGCAGTGTACTTCATCAGTCTGCCTGTTCTGCTCTCCTCTCTGGCCCTGGTGAATTCTCTCACCCTCCCATGCTTGTGACTGTGCCCAGTGCTTGTATAAATAAATAAATAATTAATTAATTAAAAAAAATAACATTTAATTGCCACATGAGGCAACCAAAATTTGATTAAGGAAGAAATTTTCAAATAAACAAAGTATGTAGGTCTACGGCCTCGTGTATAAAAGGGAGTGATGCTCACATGGTCTGCGGAAGCAGAACCAGAGGCCTCAAGACACTTTCAGGCTCTTTTCTCTTATTAGCTCTGCTACCTTCAGCAGCTTATGTACCTTCTTGCCTTTAAAACGGGGAGGGGGATAGCTATCTTTCTGTGTTCTTGTGTAGATTAAGAGACCTAACATTGATAAAACCCCTCAAGCAGCGCTGGATTTGAAAGAGAGATTAATTAAATCCATTCCCCATTCTAGAATTCTCTCTATCCAGAGCTGGTTTCCTGGGAGTAGGGAACTTCTTACTTTAAGGCATTATGCCAATGACATCCAAAGAAACACATCACTTTCACAACCAGGAAAACAAACAAAAGAAGGAATTTGCTTGTTTTGATGACTGCTGCAGGTGAGGCTAGAGGAATGCCACCTGAAGCTCCAAGTCAACTACTTTCTCTAATCCCACAATGAGACAGCACACCTTGAGCTCTGGCCAGAGCCGGGATCAGTTACTTTTCAGCAAGTCCAGAAATTTAGCAAGTATAGTGAGGCAGACACTGTCAAGCCAATACCTGCTGGTCAGTGCTTTAAAAAGACAAGTAGTGTCTGAAATGTCTTCGCCCAATTTCCTCCTTACATGCTGCAGATGAACAAGAAAAAAGCAAAAAGAAAGGAAGGGCGGACATAGGGATCCACACAACAAGGGTTAAAGAACAAGCTACCAAGAGGAGCTCCTTCCTGGAGGTGAGCCAGGCTGGTGAGGTGGTAGGAGGAATGGGATTGGGGTGCCTCTCTAACTTACCTGCGTACCACCAGCCTGAGGGTCTTGTAGGATCCTTTCACCAGGGACACGGCCTCCCTTCTGGAGCTGCTCAGTGCAACCTCATTGATGTGCACAACCTCGTCCCCTGCCCGCAGTTTGGTGCTCACCAAGTCTGCTTTGCCCCCTTCTTCGATCTGCTCCAGGGAGAAGAGAGAGGAGGGAGACATGAGTGAGACAGGTGGGTCCTGCCTAGTCCCTGGCAGAGGTCCCTGACTTAGAGGCTTTGACCCCCCCATCTCACTGGCACCCATCTATGGGTAAACTTCCAGAAGGTAAGGCCTGCCTCCTGTTTCCCCATATGTATAGGACCCACATCCTACCTGCCCAGAGAGGGCACTCAAAAGGCTAGCTGAGTAGATGAATGGACTGGGTTTTCATCCAAAGTCACCATGTCCTGGTGTTCACAAACCCCCCATTTCTACCCCTTAACATCATCAAGTTCCAAAGTCCACTCAAAGCAACAGTTTCATTCCTTTAGAAGCTGAGTTCTTCATACTTATTTTTTGGTCTAAAATTATAATTCAGTGGATAAATAAACTGGGGTCCACCCAGACAACAGAATTTTATTCAGCACTAAAAAAGAAAAGGAGCTGTCAGGTAATGAAAAGGCATGGAAGACCCTTGCATGCCTATTACTAAGTGAAAGAAACCAATCTGAGAAGGTGCAGACTACATAATTCCTGCTATAAAACAGCCCTGAAAAGGCAAAACTATGGAGACAGTAGAAAGATCAGGGTTTGCTAGGGTTAGAGTGGAGGGGGGCATGCAAAAGCAAAGCACGTAGGATGTTTAGGGCAGTGAAACTACTCTGATACTATAATATAATGATACTATAAGAGTGGATACATATCATAGTGCAGAATGTAGCAGTAAGAGTGAACCCTAATATAAAGGGTAGACTTTAGATGATAATGACATGTCAGTAGTTTCTTATTTTCATGCTGCTTTAACATGCTGCTTGTGGTTATCACATTCTATCTTTCAACAGAACTATTTATGTCTGCTTGTTCTCAGCCCACATCCCACACCATCCCCAGACTGGGCTGGAACTCTTTGACACTAGAAATCATGACTGAACATTTTCTTGCCCAGAATGCCTCCCCAGGGCTTTCACATAGGACCTCCTCAGAAAATGCTGGGTCATTCACTCAACAAATATTCACTGAGCATCTACTATGTGCCAGGTATGAAGCTGAAAACTGGGGGTACAGTGATCAGCATCACTGATGTTTCCCTGCTCAAGTTGCAGTTTGTAGAATTGAATCCCCTCTATTATTTGCCAGCATTTGCAATAATATGAGACCTGGGAATGATCAATTTCTTTTTTTTTTTAAAAGATTTATTTATTTATACATACAAGAACTGGGATATAGGCCAGAGGTGTGGCGGGGGAATGGGGGAGTGAGAGGATTCACCAGAGACAGAGTGGGGAACAGAATAGGCAGATTGACTGAGATAAACTGCTGAGGGGAGCAGCGGGCAAGTCAGGAGAGGTCTGCTGCACCATGTGGGTAGCTCTCTGCCTGGAGACTGAACTTGTGCTGCAGTGCCTGCAGATAGATTCATAGTGCTACATCTTAACCCCTTGCACCACCAGGGGGCCCAGAATGATCAATTTCTTATGTTAAAAAAGAAAGTCAAGAAAGCTCATTTGTGTAATTCCTATCATATCCCTCTTGTGACTGATGTAATGTGAAAATATTTATGTCAAAGTTTCACTGTTTTCATAAACTATTTCTATAATCCTTTGTATTTACAGTTTCTCCACTTTGTATAAAACTTTTATATTAAAAATGATTACTTTCAAAAAGGCAATATAATTACTTATGAAATTGAGAAGAATAGTGGCTGGATGATTTTTTAAAAACAGTATTTATTTATCAAACACTAGCCGGGCACCTACTATATATTTTGATTCTCAAATTTCTCCATACTCTCTATTTGTGATTCATGCTGCCTTGGGATTTTAAATATTACCTGAGATAACTCACAAATATTTTTTCCAACACTGACCTTTTTGTATAAACCCCTATCCTATATTTTCAGGGGTTTTCCCTCCAAATATACCTCCTCTGTCATGAAACTTCTCTATGTTAACCCAGACTTAATCTCTCTCTTCTCCAAATGATTTCTCTCTTGAGACCAGCCACAATCACTACTTTTATTGTGGCTACTTCTGATGATGCCCTAACCCCTCTGCTAGGTTTTAAATTCTATGAGGTTAGAAACTACGCAAATATCACCCTGGGAGGGTAAGCAATTAGTAATGAATCAAAGAAGTCCTGGGATTCATATTTGTGGGAGGTTTGCTCTGGACAGGGATTCACCCAGGGGCTCTACTCCAAAAGACAGAGTCCCAAGAGGCCTAAGTGAGGTCTGAATTGAGCCAGTTGGGCCTGAAGTGCTCTAAGTGGTCTTAGCTAACTGAATTAAGAGCTGCAGTATCAGGGCCTCCCCAATGGCGCAGCCCATTGAGGGCCACACTGTGAAGCTGTCTGCAGCTTCTGCAGCATGGGTTCGATTCCCAGCCAGCCAGGGACCAACCCACATGGCGCAGCAGACCTCTACTGCCTCGCCCTCTGCTCCCCAGCAGTGTCTTTGGTCCATCTGTCTGTTCTGCCTGTCTCTGGTGAATTCTCTGGTGAATTCTCTTACTCTCCTGCGCCTCTGACCTATATCCCAGTTCTTGTATAAATAAATCTTTAAAAAAAAAAAAAAAGCTGCAGTATCAGTTTGTGGATTTCTCGGGAACCCTACATGCCCTGTCTGCTTTGTTGGTTACTTTACCACCTTTCTATTTGTTAACATCAGTGTTAGTGAGTATCTTATCTGTTGGCCACTCTCAGTATCTCAATTTGTTGGTTAATAAATCTAGTTGCCTAGAAAAGTTGAAGCTATTGACTAAAACAAAGTTGTGAATGAACTTATTCTATATTGTTGATTGCATAAATGATAAATTGATATATTAAGGCACATTTGCTAATGCAATTTCAATATGCTGAGGCTAACTACATGCACAAATCTTATGTCAACTATTTACAGTTTATCTAATATTATTATTATTTAATAATATTTAACAGAAGATTTAATAATAATTTTCTTGAACTATTCATTAAAGAGAATTATACTTCTAACTCCAAGTCTTGCTAACACTGTCAACAAGACTTAGTGAAAAATGGAGCTTATTATTTTAAACCTTTGGACTAATACTTGAGCATCTGAAGAGGTCACTGGCATTGTTTGCCCAGTTTCACCTGCATAGAATTTACTTATTCCAAGAATGTGATTTTCAGGAGGTTAAATGACTTTAGATAATACATATGTATGGCAAGGTGCAAAGTCCCTAAGCTAACAAACTAGAGAAAAGGTTTGTACACACCTGGAAAATTAGCAAATCCTTTTCACATCCCAAATGTATCCACATCTATAGGATTAAGTGATTTTGCTTTGATGACTGTGTGCGGGGTTGACTTTTTAATCATTTAGTCTTTTACATTGCTATAAATTTAGCACCTATCATAGTACCTACACATAAATGATGAATGAACTTTTGAACAAATCTGGAAAAGGTGATTATATATATATATATTTTAAAACCCACTAAATTTTAATAAAGACACCATCCAATGAATTATGATATAATTAAAAGTTTGCTTTAAATATTTTTTAGAGAGGGGACACCACACTTCTACTCAATTAGGTGAAACATTTTTATAGTCCAGAGCTCTTTTATTTCTTTTTGCACACCTATCATGCCATGAATTCACAGGGAATAGGTTCTAGCAGCTCAGGCTCCTTCCCATTGGTTCTCACAAAGTGTGCTTCTCTAGGTGGAGAACCCAAGTACCAAGTACGCTTCAGCTGAACCCAAGTACCCTTCTCTTTGGCTTCCTTGGAAAAGGTGATTTTAAAGCTAAGAAACAGCTCTGGCTAGTTCATGCTATGATAGAAATACAATCTAAAAAAGAAAGTGACCCAATCAAAAACTGGACAGGAAAGCTAAAAAGAAGACATACAGGTGGTCAACACAAAAAAATGCTCAACATCACATATCATCAGGGAAATGCAAATCAAAGCTAAAAAGAAGGAAAGCTAAAAAGAAGGAAAGCTAAAAAGGAAAGCTAAAAAGAAGACATACAGGTGGTCAACACAAAAAAAATGCTCAACATCACATATCATCAGGGAAAAGCAAATCAAAGCCACACCGAAATTCCACCTCACATCTGCGAGAATGGCTCATATCAAAAAAACAGAAACAAGAAGTGCTGGTGAGGATGTGGAGAAAAAGGAACCCTCTTACACTGTTGGTGGGAACGTAAACTGGTCCAGTCTTTAGGGAAAATATAGTGGCAGTTTCTCGAAATAGCAAAATAGAGCTATCATATGATCCAGCAATTCTACTCCTAGATATCTACCCAAAGAATGCAAAAGTATTCATTTGAAGAAGTATATATCCGGGGCCTCCCCGGTGGCGCAGCGGTTGAGCGCTGGGTTGCGAAGCTGCCCGCGGCCTTTGCGGCGCCGGTTCGATCCCCGGCTGCTCCCCGGTCACCGGAGGAGGGTCCCACATGGCGCGCAGACCTCTCCTGCCGCCCGCTGCTCCCCTCAGCAGTGTACTTCGGTCCTTCTGCCTGCTCTGCTCCCCACTCTGGCTCTGGTGAATTCTCTCACCCTCCCGCGCTTCTGACTGTACCCAGTGCATGTATGAACAAAACAAACAAGCAGACAAATAAATAAAATGGAACATGCCTCTATTAAAAAAAAAAAAAAAGAAGTATATATCCACTTCTATGTTCACTGAAGCACTATTTACAACAGCCAAGTTATGGAAACAACCTAAGTGCTCAATGACAGAAGAGTAGATTAGGAATATATGGTATATATACTCAGTGGAATAGTATCCAGCTATAAAAAAAGATGACAACATGGATGTGTTCTTGCAACAACATGGATGGAACAGGAGGAATTGTGATTAATGGACTAACTCAGAAGGAGAAAGACAAATACTAGATGATTTCACTCACATGTGGAATATAGAGAAACAAAACAAAGGAATACACAAAATTAAACCAAAGCAACCCCCAGAAATCTGACTATAGAATTGAGGTTACCAGAGGAGTGGGGTGGGGGGTGG